TTTGTATCTAAACAGTACATTACAGATGAACAAAGTTTAGACAAGCAACATATTTTTAATCAGCAGGCTGCATTTTGTGATTTCAATGAAAGGATCAATCACTTTTGTTCTTATCTCAAAAGGTAATATTACAAGGAATTTTAAAAGAATCACAAACCTAAACTTTATATATGAAAGAGTCATCTCTATTTTAAATCCTCAAGGTGCATACCCATTAATAAACTGCTTTTTTATATCAAGAAGCTGGTGGCAGAAATGGGCCCAAGGAATTAATAATCATCTTTGATCACTCTCCTGTCTGTTCTTATGCCAATACCAGGCTGTTTTCAGTATTGTAGCTCTGTAGTAGAGTTTGAAGTCAGGGATTGTGATGCCTCCAGAAGTTCTTTTATTGTATAGGATTGTTTTTGCTATCCTGGGTTTTTTGCTTTTTCATATGAGGTCTTTGAAGAATTTTGCTGGAATTTTGATGGGCATTGCATTGAATCTGTAGATTGCTTTTGGTGAGATTGCCATTTTTTACTGTGTTAATTCTGCCTACCCAAGAGCATGGGAGATCTTTCCACTTTCTGGTGTCTTCTTTAAATTCTTTCTTCAAAGATTTAAAGTTCTTGTCATACAGTTCTTCCACTTGTTTAGTTAGAGTTACTCTGAGATATTTTATGCTATTTGTGGCTATTGTGAGGGTGTTGATTATCTGATTTCTTCCCCAGCACTTTTATCATCTGTGTACAGGAAGGCTACTGATTTTTTTCAAGTTAATCTTGTATCCTGCTACATTGCTGAAAGTGTTTATGAGTTGTAGACATTCCTTGGTAGAATTTTTGAGATCGCTTATGTAAGCTATCATATCATCAGCAAACAGTGAGCATTTGACTTCTTCTTTTCTGATTTGTATCCCCTTGATCTTGTTTTGGTGTCTTATTGCTCTAGCTAGGACCTCAAGCACTATATTGAGGGCTGGGTGGTGGTGGTGCACACCTTTAATCCTAACACTTGGGAGGCAGAGGCAGGTGGATCTCTGTGCATTTGAGACCAGCCTAATCCAAAAGAGCTAGTTCCAGCCCAGGCTCCAAAGCTACAGAGAAACCCTGTTTTGAAAAACCAAAAAAAAAAAAAAAAAAAAAAAAAAAAAAAAAAAAAAAAAAAAAAAAAAAAAAAAAAAAAAAAAAAAAAAAAAAAAAAAAAAAAAAAAAAAAAAAAAAAACCCCACATTGAATAGATATGGAGAGAGTGGACAACCTTGTCTTGTTCCTGATTTCAGTGGGATCGCTGGGAGTTTCTCTCCACTTAGTTTGATGTTGGCTGTTGGCTTGTGTTGGCTTGCTGTATATTGCCTTTATTATGTTTAGGTATGTTCCTTGTATCCCTGCTCTCTCCAAGACCTTTATCATGAAGGGATGTTGTATTTTGTTGAAAGCTTTTTCGGCATCTAATGAGATGATCATGTAGTTTTTAATTTTCAGTTTGTTTATATGGTGAATTACATTGACAGATTTTCATATGTTGAACCATCCCTGCATCTCTGGGGTGAAGCCGACTTCATCATGGTGGATGATGATTCTGACGTGTTCTTGGATTCAATTTGCCAGTATTTTATTTTGTATTTTTGCATCAATGTTCATGAGTGTGATTGGTCTGTTATTCTCTTTCTTAGCAATGTCTTTCTGTGGTTTGAGTATCAGAGTAATTGTAGCCTTATGAAAAGAGTTTGGCATTGTTCTTTCTGTATCTATTGTGTGGAATAATTTGAGGAGTATTAGTATTAGTTCTTTGAAAATCTTGTAGAATTTTGAGCTGAAACCATCTGGCCCTGGGATTTTTTTTGATTGGGAGACTTTTGATGACTGTTTCTATTTCTTCAGCAATTATACGTCTGTTTAATTTGCTTCTCTGGTCTCGATTTAATTTTGGTAAATGATATTTATCTAGAAAGTTGTCCATTTTGTTTAAGTGTTCCAATTTTGTGGAGTACAGGTTTTTGAAATATGATCTGATGATTCTCTGTATTTCCTCCATGTCTGTTGTTATGCCCCCCTTTTCATGTCTGATTTTGGTAATTTGGGTATTCTCTCTCTGCCTTTTGGTTTGTTTGCATAAAGGTTTGTCTATTTTGTTGATTTTCTTGAAGAACCAACTCTTTGTCTCATTGATTCTTTGTATTGTTTTCTTTGTTTCTATTTCTTAGCCTTATTGTCAAACCACTTTTTTTTTAAGAAAAAAATATTGAGGACAAAACCAATCCCTGGAATTAAGATTAATGATGTAGAAGGGAAATCATATAAGTCTTGTAAAACCTCATGCTGTAAGTAAAGAGGCTATTGAAACATTTGCAGGTTAGGTTGTCTAACATATTGCCTTTTAAAATTATCAATTTATGATCTATATTTAGGATATTAAATCTTACCCGTGGATTAGCTGGATTAGGTGCAATAACAGTTACCTGCCAGTAGGTGTCGCAGACCACCTGCAAAACTAATCCAGCTGGGCATAATGGTGCATGTGAACTCACGTGATTGGTCTGAAATCTGACCATAGAGCCAAATGCTGAAAGATAAATGACAGACTGTCTGCTCTGCAGATGTCTCTAGAACAGTGCAATAGGCAAATGCAAACAAATCTTTAGAAAGCTGTGGAACAGCTGGCTCAGACCAGGGAAGCCCGTGTCTCACCCAGATTTCTGCGGTGCACACTGGTGGGAGGCAAACGGTAAGGTGCATGGGGACTTGAAAGTCCAAGGCGTGTAAAGAAAACATACAAAGAATTGCAGCAAGAGAAGCCACTGTGTAAGATTCTATATTGAACTGCTGGCTCAATGCATGGGCTATGGGTGAAAGAGGGCTTGTGCCAAGCTGAGATAGTAGCAGGCAGCCGAGCGGGGGGAAGGTTCTAAAACCAAATGTTGGGTGCCAGATGAAGGCATAGATCACAAAACAATCCCAAACCAGTTGGAATTATGATTAATAAAAGGGATATTTATTTAAGGGGAAAAAACTTACAGATCACCGTCCTAGACAACAACCCTCTGCAAGATCAGGAACAAAGTCTAACAGCCAGAAGCAAGAGAGCGAGAATGCACAGCTACCTTAAAGCAAAAGAGACCACGCCCAAGTGGGCTGGTATCTTAAAGGCTATTGCCTGAAGGAGCAGAAGGATCTCCTGTAGCAGTGCACCTCTGCCCCTAGTAATTCTTCTAGTTATCCCTATCTATCTCCTAAAGGACCCACAGCCTTCAAAACAGTCCTCTAGCTATGGGCAAGCACTCAAAACATGAGCTTGTGGGTCACTAGCCCATAGTAACTACTGAAAGCCTAAAAGGTACCTGAGATTGCTGTTGGTGAACTGTCCTGTGTATTCAGAGAAACGAGAGCCACATGGCAGAGGGTTTACAGTAGTGAGACTCAGTGTTGACCTTCCCTGCAACAGAGTCTCGTCAGAACACTTGAAGGCTTGGTACTGGGGGAAAGGTGCTGAACAATCGGTCACACAAGCTCCTGATACCAGAAGCCAGTGCTGGGGCCTGTCTCACAAATGTGGCAAATGGAGACCACAGACACCAAGAGAGGGTGAAAGTTTCAGAGTTTATCTTCAGGGAAAGGGGAGTGCCTGAGAGCGAGAGGGGTGCAAGGGCACAATGACTCCGAACAAGATCAATGGTCACCAGGATCCAACCCGACAGAGGGACCCAAAGATTGGTTTACATGGTCCTGCTTTTGCTTAGGGGATAAAAGGGCTTTGCAAAGAGGAGGGGAATGTGGGGGCAGCAGCATGGGCTGCCAGTCAGCAGACTGTTGGTTGTCTGCCTCTGATTTTCCTTCCAGGAACCAGGAAAGTCATCAGCTGCGGTGGGCAGTGGATGTCAGCAGACACCAAGATTACAGCAATGAAAGCTTTCAGGCTTGAAGCCCCAACCTGACTGCCTGGTGAGGTGCAGCCAACTACTGGTCTCACCAGGACTGCAGCAATGCATTAAGGCTCCAGCAGGAGCACCCCTCTGCTCAACATCAGTCTCAACTATTTCCTGAGTAGGCAACATGAAATCTTTGTTTTCAACCCAAAGGTCATGGTTCATTATGATTTGTATTCAGTGTAGTGGCTGGGAAAGGGGGACTTTGCTCTGGAGAAATGGCCCAAGTAGGGAGAGGCAGAGGAATAGGGAGATCCTAGGGCCTGCAGGACACAAGACACTCACCACTCCTTAATGAAAGGGAATGTGCTCCGGGGGAGCAAAGTACAGACAGAGCAGAATTTGGCACCTTTGTAAGGGTCAAAGTGCAAGAGACTTTGTACTGGGGGGGGGGGGGGTGAAACATTTAAGGAAATCAATCACATGGACCATCAAGAAGATTAGATGATCAGAAGTCAAGAGGCTTCTGGAGGACCCATGAGGGTAGGAAGACAACTCCATACAAGAAGTTTGGGTGCCAGGGACAAGGGTCTCTTCTGACGCTGCCCCATTTCCAGGACACACTAAATGGACAAACATTTTCAGAGAAGTGACAGACTCAAGCAAGTGTGGGCTCCATACTGTCTGCAGAACTCCTGATCCAAAGAGCAAACTTCAGAAAATGGGTCACTGAGAAACCCGTGTAGTTCTGATCAATTCCCTAACTCCTGACCTCATAGGATTGGAAATCCCATGAACATGTCTAGTTCTGCTTCTGCAGGCATTTGTAAAATTTCATATACAGGGAACATATGTAGGGATTTTTTTCTCATCAGTTGGCATTCTTTGTGGCTGATGTCAGAGATCTTTTTGAGCTATGGTCTGAAAATCATCAAGTTTATTTGCTGAAATCTAATTTCTGATCCAATGTTATTAAGAGTTATGACTCTTGGAAGATCCAAGAGTGTCATTGTTTGCTCATTCTATCCAACGAGGATGCAATGTGAAATCTTTTGGGCCAGAGGCCTAACTCTCACCCCAGAGCAAATCTGATGGCATTTGAACTTGGAGATTCCTTGGTTTATAAACATGTATATTTTTTTTGTTATTTATATGTTGTCCAGATTATAATTTGTTTAGAGATGCTGGACTTACTATGTTGCTCAGGATGACCCAAAACTGTGGGAATCATTTGATCTTTCTGCCTATGCCTCTGATAGCAGGACCCACAGTACCTATTACAGAGCTCAGCTTACAATTTGTGAATTTTTGGAACAACAGCCTGACTGAACACATGAAAACAATAGGTAGGACTTTGGCTCTTAGGTTTCTTTATTGGCCACTTACAAATAAGAAGACGTGAGACTTGCTGAGAGAACATAGGATTTTGACAGTCCACTCCCATATAATAAATATTCCCAAAGCATCTGTTTCATCTGAAGACTGTCTGGGGCTTTGGAGAAGAGGAGAGAGGATGAGAGCAGATGAAAAAGGAAGGAAAGGGCGTTGTCCCAGGGGACAGTGAAAGAAGACTGGAGCACTTAGGGGTCACACATCTACAGTCATGGGAGCATTCACGGAGTCTCATAAAAGGTGTCCCAGCATGCTGAGGAATGAGTGACACACCAAAGGTTTGTCGTACATGCAGACCAAATGGACAATTGTAGCGGTAAGGGACGGTGATGTGACTGTTAGACTCTAACCGGATTCTCTAAGAATGTTCGGCTGACCCCATGTATATTCAGCCCTTCACACCATTCCTCTCACAGGGTACTACTCTTTGTAATTATCCGGAGACCCCTTTAGGTCATGGGTCTTCTGGGGCAAAGTCTGGGTCCAGAACTGCAGCCTTCTGGCCTTCAGGGCTTGGCCCACAGCAGGCTGGATGTCGAGCTGCAGGTACTTCTCATTATCGTCCATCACTGGCCAGTCGGGTAGACCCTCAGTGTTGGGGTTCCTACGGGTATGCCACCCACAGGGAATGGTAAGGTCATGCTCATACAATTTGTGATCCCCCAATTTGTGTCAGGGTAGTAGGCTAATTGGGCCAATAGGTGAGGGGGCTGATGGAACACATGTCCTATACTGATGGAGGTGGGTCTTGTATCTTATCTGTTGATTTCATTGGTTAATAATAAAGAAACTGCCTCGGCCCTCATAGGACAGAAAATTAGGTAGGCGGAGTAAACAGAGGAGAATGCTGGGAAAAAGAAGCTGAGTGAGTGAGTCGCCATGATGCTCCCACTCCAGACAGATGCAGGTTAAGATCCTCTCTGGTAAGCCAGCTCATGGGCTACACAGAATATTAGAAATGGGTTAGAACAATATGTAAGAGCTAGCCAATAAGAAACTGGACCTAGCCGGGCCAGGCAGTGTTTGAAAGAATACAGTTTCCGTGTAATTATTTCGGGCATAAGCTAGCCATGCGGGCGGCCGGGTGCCGGGGACGCAGCCCTGCCGCTCCTATTTCAACACTATACAGGGATACAAGTGTCACCGGCTAGTGTCTGCTTCATGTGGGGTAAGACTACCTGGATAATTTTGGGTCTCCCACTCAGAGGCAAAATTTAAAGAACAATAGCATAGCTCCTGTCAGGTCTTTGCAGTGTGAACAGTAACCAATATGTACAATGTACCTAAGTGTGCCCTGGGGTGAGGAGGTCTCTATCACGTGATGAGTTATCCATGCATGCTAATGAAGTCATCAACCACCAATGGAGTCCTAGATAGGGACCCACCACTGAGGAGGTTGAGGGAGGGGTGTGCTCTCACCCATGTTTTGCAAAGTTGGTCCAGTACTTCATCATTCTCCTGCTCAGCAGCTCCTCTTCCTCAGTGAAGTCAGCTGTAGCCATGGGGAAGACAGAGGTTCAGGTCCCAGCCACTCCATGCAGCTGCCTATTGGCGTTCTGCAATCACCATCCTTCCTGTAGCCTGACCTTGAACTCTAGGCCTCTTTCCCTCCTTCATCACCAAGGATCCCGGAGCCACCCACACCTCTAATTGAATGCCTCCAGGTTCAGTTCTGCTCAGTGTGTCCTCATTCCATCTAACATAGGTGTGGTGGCTCAAATGATATGACTCCTATAGACTCATATATTTGAATGTGTGGTCCCCAGTTAGTGGACTGTTTGGGAAGGACTAGGAGGTATGGCCTTGTTAAAGGACGTGTATCACTGGAAGTTGGCTTTGAGGTTTAAAAGTCCAGTCAGGTCCAGTTAGCTCTCTCTCTGCCTTGTGTTTGTAGATCAGGATGTAAGCTTTAGTTAGCTACTGTTCCAGTGCCTTTGTCTGCCTGAACGCTGCTATTCTCCCATCCCTGATGGTCATAGACTCCAACTAATCCTTTGAAACTCTAAGTCCCAATAAACCCTTTCTTCTATAAGCTGACTTGGTCATAGTATCTCATTGCAGTAATATAAAAGTAATTAAGACAATAGATTATATTTGGAAGGGTCCATATTCTAACTGGGTATAGCTTTTTGGTGTTGGAAAAGGTGCTTACTTGATTATGTCCTCTCCCAGAGCCTTGATTTTCTCAACTAGACTGAGAGCTCAGTTGCCCATCAAGTACCCACCTGTGACCCCATCCAGCTCATGAAACACAAGCAAGACTCACGTTTTATGCCCCAGCGGGAGGACCCCAAAAGAAAGGGAACCTCATCACCATGGTCAGCTTTCACATAGGCTGGCCTCGTATCTTTTTCATAGCTGGGCACATGACGGAATTCATAAAAGTAGACAGGGCCATGAGAGCCTAGAGGTAAGGACACATGGTTACATAGTATTCTCTCACCTGTAACTTTCCTGCCTAACGGTTATTGATAAGTTATGTCGGTATACAGTTATCTGGTGTTATAATTGTCACGTGGGTGGCCCCAGGCTGGAGCACTAGTTCCTGGAAAGCCTTTGGCTAAACAGTGACCCTGGCCTTCCCAGCTGAGTAGGTTTGGCAAATCAATGGAGTATCAGCAACCTGTTTCCTTGTTTGTATCTGGATAAGATATCACTTCCTTCTCTTACACTAGAATGAAGAAATACTGATGTAATGGTCCCGGAAGTTTGGTTCCAGAGATGTGATCCAGTCATGAGTGGAAACCTGGACACTATTAAGCTCATCTGGGACCCATTGCTCTGAGCTCCTCCCCACTAGGCCTCATCACAGATGTACTCACGTTGAAACTTTGCTACTTGGAGTGCAGGAATCACGAACAAATAGTCTGCTATCATTTCCTTGTACTGTATTTGGAGGGTCTGGGCATCTTCAGTGTTGTTCATATACTCTTCCATTAGCAGGTCACCACACTCAGGAGGTAACATCTACAGCAGGGAACCAGGAAGAATGAGTTTAGGCAGGTTCTTGTTTTGATAGGCAGCAGCCTCAGTGTGGAGAATGTGG